CCCCCACACAGGGGCCCCCCAGGGGGCCCCTGTGTGGGCCCAGTGGGGGCCCCTACTGCATGCACTGGCTCTCTGTTGCCTCCAAAAGGCCCCCCAAGAACCCACAAACCTTCTGGGGGGGACCCGGGGCCCCTGGGGGCCCCCGGGGCCCTTGAGGCCCCCTGAAGCCCCCTCTACTTTGTAAGGGGGCCCCTAGACATATAGGCCTGACAGTGGGGGGCAGCGCGCGTTGCTGGGGTTTAGGGTTTGGAGCTTAGGGTTTAGGGTTTAGGGTTTGGTGGGGCCTGGCATTGGCGCAGAAGTAATCCGCGCTAGCTTGATTTTCGAAACACCAAAAGTGGCCGCCATTAAACCTCACAAAAGCTGGCAAGGGTTTGCTGACGGGGCTAAACCCTAAACCCTCGCTAAACCCTACACCCCTTTTCGCCAGAGTTGCTGCTGTTGGCAAGCGGCAGCAATGACAACCCGCAGACCCTAGAAAGGAGATTCGCCCGGGAGCCGTGAGGGTTTCGTAGTAGCTAGGGTTTAGGAGAAACAGCCAAAGCACCGTCAGCGACGCCACCTGCAGCAAACCCTAAACCCTAAACCCTAAACCCTAATCCGCAAACCCTACTGCTGCGGCCTGCGTGCGCGGCTGCCGCTTCGAGGCCTCTCTAAACCCTAAATTTACTGCTGCACGGGAGGGCAAAAGCTCAAACCCAAAACCCTAAACCCTAAACCCTAGCAGACTCCACGGACAAGGCATAAAGAAACCAGCACACATGGCGACGGGCAGATAGCTACAGCTTTAAGTAGAAGGTTAGTGGCACGGGTCTCGGGCCTAGGGCTTACGGTTTCGGTTTTAGGGTTTAGGGTTTAGGGTTTAGGGTTTACGCACCAAGAACCCAAGAGCCAGCAACCGCACAGTCCACTCTAGAAAGCCCTCGTAACACTTCCACACAAACGGGGGGCCATCTGCGGGCAGTTCTTTCAGCTCCGCGCGTGTCCTGGCTTCTGCACCACAAACCCTAAACCCTAAACCCTAAACCCTAAATCCTAAACCCTTAACCCTACACCTAGGCAAGCAACCCCGCCACCATCTCAACACAGAAAAGGCGGAACTGCAAATCCAGTTGGGGATGCAGCGCTGGAAACCGCTTCTACCGTTTAGGGCTTAGGGTTTAGGGTTTAGGGTTTAGGGTTTAGGGTTTAGGGTTTACCATGTCTCCTGATACGTCTGGCCAACATGTTGCGCTTCGTTGCTGAAAGGCAGCGGTGGCAGCAGCGCAGCTGCACCCGCGCCCACCAGACGGAGAACGAAAACCTCCTGAAAGAAACCCTAAACCCTAAACCCTAAACCCTAAACCCTAAACCCTGTGCGCCGGCAGCAAGTCTCCCACTGACAGAGAATTACGGGGCCTAATCTCCCGCTTAAGTCAGAAAGCCACTCTCTAAGTTTACAACCCTTAAACCCTGGCGCCCAAACCCTAAACCCTAAACCCTAGAGCCTAAAGCCTAAATCCTAAACCCTACACCCTAAACCCTCACCTGATGGCCCGAAGGGAATATATTGTCGCAAACCCTACGAGCAAACCCCCGAGGCAGCCGCCCAAATGCGCGAAGTTGTCTACAGAAGAGAAACCCCCCATATTCGTCAGCTGGGCCGTGGCCTGCGCACAAACCCTACACCCTAAACCCTAAACCCTAGGCCCTAAACCCTAGGCACTAAACCTTAATCCCTACACCCTACAGCGGCACCAACAGATGCAGCGCTAGGAGTAAACCTCGGCTTCAGAATGGAGAGCTAAGCCTCTAGAATCTAGGGTTTAGGGTTTAGGGTTTAGGGTTTGCGGCTCACAATAACAACGACGACGATCGCCAGGACGCACCAGGGGAAGTGGAGGTAATCCCAATTCTCTGAAGTCAACACACACGTCCTAAAGCCTAAACCCTAAACCCTAAACCCTAGACCTTACACCCTAAACTCACATAATCCTTGCACTTAAGTCACGGCTTTACCGAGGGCGGGCGCAGCAGTATCAGTGCTACCCAAACCCCAAACCCCACCCGCCAAACCCTAAACCCTAAACCCTCACCGATTGCGAAGGGCACGAGGGCCCCCAAAAGCCCGTAAAGGGCCCCCGAAGACCCCACAGTGCTGGTGCAAGGGTCTAGAACTGCGCTGAGGGTATTACCCCCCATGGCGCTGATTACCCAGGTGAGGAGGCAGCGCCAAAACCCCCACATCTGTGCAAACCCTAAACCCTAAACCCTAAACCCTAAACCCTAAACCCTAAAGCCTGGGCTCGGACGCCCGGCCCACTGGCAACAGTTCACGCTAAGGAGAGACACAAGAGCTAAGGCGCTGGGGAGGCGAAGCAAAGGCACGCTGCAACTAGGGTTTAGGGTCTAGGGTTTAGGGTTTAGGGTTTAGGGTTTAGGGTTTGCGGGACCGGCTCGAGAATGAAAAGAACTGCCGCCTGACAAAGAAGATTTATCAACAAATGCATCCAACCCGCATGCAACCAAGAGGCCCAAAAGACTCTGTAAACTTCTCCGTAATTTCGAATTAAATTTGTGTCCAAAGCCCCCAGTGGCAGCAAAATCCGCGCTGCACGCAAACCCTAAACCCTAAACCCTAAACCCTAAACCCCAAGCCCCAAGCCCCAAACCCTAATTCGCTTCTGGGGACGCAGGCGCTGAACTGGTGGGGAAAGCGCGGCGCGCAGGCGGCGCCGCAGGCCCTCGCGTTGCACCTTCAAGGTCTAGGGCCTAGGGTTTAGGGTTTAGGGTTTAGGGTTTACGGTTGGGGGAGTCTGCTGCAGCAGGGCTGGCTGCAGTTCTGCCCCCTTTGACGAGCTGCGGGGGCCAGCCCCGGTCTCCAGCGCATGCACCCCAGGCGCATCTTCTGTGGGGAAAAAGCTGCTGCAGCAGCCACGCAGGGTTTGGGGCTCCTGCTGCTGCTGCTGCTGCTGCTGCTGCTGCTGTTCCCGGGTCCTGCAGGCCCAAGTTCGACTCGCACGCGCCGTACCCAAACGGCACCAACGACGGCTGCGACGCCCACCCAAACCCTAAACCCAAAACCCTAAACCCTAAACCCTAAACGCGGCACCCACACAAACCCTAAACCCTAAACCCTAAACCCTAAACCCTTTGCTCCCCAGCAGAACCCCAGTCAATGATTTACACGCTGCACGGCTTCTGGACACTCACAGCCGCCGCGGGTTAGCGGCTAGGGTTTAGGGTTTAGGGTTAAGGGTTTAGGGTTTAGGGTTTAGGGTTTAGGGTTTGAGCGCCACCTGTGAAGGATGCGTCCACGGCGGATACAAGACGGGCCCAATGCAGCGTCCGTTAAACGACGTAAAGTTAAACACCAACCTGCGCACACGCCGTCACAAACCCTAAACCCTAAACCCTAAACCCTGGACCCTAATACGCCTATGCATAGGATTGGCAGCGTCCCTGCTACTTTTGCTGGCAGCAACTCCCAATCTTCCGCATCCCCTTCTCCGCCCTGCTGCTCCCAAACCCTAAGCCCTAAACCCTAAACCCTAAACTCTAAACCCTAGGGCTCACTCTTGCAAGAAAAGAAAGAAGAGGATGGCGGAGGTGCTGTAGAGCAGCACAAAAGAGCTTCTCCCATTCCCCAGATGGGCCCAAATGCGTTTGCGAGTAGCAGCAGAGAGCGATCGAAAGAGCGACGCTGCGTTGCTGCTGCTGCTGCTGCTGCTGCTGTTGCTGCTGTTCAGCCGGCTCGCACTTCCCCCGGGGGCCCCCCTCCCGTAGCAGTACCCTCTTAAACCCTCAGCTGGCAGCAGCACTGGCTGCACCTGCTGCCCCCTCGTGGGGACCCCCCCCAGAGGCCCTTCGGAGGGGCCCACGTAGACCCAGGGGGCCCCCACGGCGGGGGGCCCCCCTGGGGCCCAGGGGGCCCCCAGGACCCTTTGGTTCCCCAGGGCCCCGTAGGCCCCGGGCGCGCCATGCAGGGGGGGGCCTCCGGGGGGGCCCCCCGGGGGGCCCCCGGCCCCCCCCCC